TACTTCATTGATCTGCCCGTTCTGCTCCCCACTCTGTCTCTGGTGAATTCTCTCACCCCCACACCTCTGGCCTGTACCCCAGCTCTTGTGTGCATAAATAAATAAATCTTAAAAAATAAAATAAAAATAAAAGGTGAAAGCTTTGTCTCCTAGGGCACCTTGCAAAGAGGAGAAAGAAATTGCTTTGCACAAGGAAAAGAATCCCCAGTGGATTCCTTTGGAGGGCGCCCACCTCACTGGATGTGAGGCCGGGGTGCTGGCTGATGGATGCAGAGTCACATCAAGTTTCCCTCAAACTTGGTGTGTGTCATGGGAACACACATGAAGGTGCTGGAGACCGCCTTTGCCCCTAGAGCAGGATGAGCTGTGCCTTGGATGGTCTTAGTGAGAAGAGGAATCTGCTTATCTGCTATGTCAGTCACACACAGTTTCCTGGGACCCAACCAGATTAACCAAATGCCAGGGGGTAAAGTGTAATAGGGGGGTTTCCAGGTAAAGGGGAGGTTCCAGCATCTCTGCTCCACCCAAGAGAGAGTGGAGCTGAGTAGGGAGGAGGAGAAGCTGGAGAGGAGATTGGGGAAGGAAGGAAAAACAATGGGGAGAGTAGAAGGAGACCTGGAGGAGGCACAGGGAGCAGAGAGACATGTGAAGATGCTGCCCGTGCTTTTTTGTCCTGGACTGGTTGAAACAGGTGTGGGTGAGAGACCCGTGGGGAGGTTCACTATGGCAGCATTTATCTTGATTTTGATTTTGTTCCTTCTATTCCAGATGTGCTGGGGTCCTTCTGCCTCTGTCCCCTGGGTCTCCACCAGACAGGCCCTGAGACTTGAGGCACGCTTTCAGTCTCACAGTGGCCCTGCTTTGGGCCAACCTGTTTGTCCAGGCCTTTACCCATGAGGGGCCCGTAATTCTGGTGCTTGATTTGGGAAATACAGTCTTTGTTTTTAAATTATTTCATACTAATTGTATTAAAGTTCTTTTCTATTAAAGGGCTTACACACTAGATGATATTTGGTCTTGATGCAGTCAGTGGTAGAACCTCTTTAGAGTG